CTTAGCCACAACCCTGGCTCCTGTGATATCATTATTACACCAAAAAAGTGACCAATAATTCTTTGATATTGCCTAATAAGTAGTCTGTACGTAGATTTTCCCAGTTGTGGCTTTAGTTATATTGATTGTACTGTTAGCTGATCTCCAAGATTAATCAGAGTTAATAAATACCCCAGTTTTCCTGGGACATAAGGCTAAAGAAGGCAAACAGTTGGTCATCCCACTGTCAACCACAGGCTTTGAGGTCAGTCAATGTGGTTGATTATGTATTTTTTACCTCAGGAGTATGCTCTTTCGGAATTCAGAATGGTAGAGAATTGTCTATGAGGTCTGAGAGCTGATGCTGAGGGAATTTCACAACGAATGAAAAAGTTAYGATAGATGCCTCCCTTAAATGAGCTTGCTGTCCAACTGGAAGATCAAAACCATTAGAGACAAAACCAAAGATTAAGTGGTGTGATCCAGAGGGAGGAGATACAGGAGGTTCTCCTGGTAGGGGTCAGCCTTATTGGAGATTCGGAAAGATTAAATTGAGCCTTGAAGACCGAGTAGAATTTCCAAATTCTAAGCAAATTCATACTAAAGGTAAGACATTGAATCAGATCATTTGAACATGGATTCTGGGATAAGAAAAAGTGTTATCTAAAATACTATTTGGTTCTTCTTGCCCAGGGGTCTGTCCTCCAGCCTCAGCAGATGAGACTTTTGAGCACCATCTTCAGCGACTGAGAAAACTCATTAAAAAACGCTCTGAACTATATGAAGCTGAAGAGAGAGCCCTTAGAGTTATGTTGGAAGGAGAACAAGAGGAAGAGAGGAAAAGAGAATTGGAAAAGAAACAAAGAAAAGAAAAAGAGAAATTTTTACTTCAGAAACGTGAAATCGAGTCCAAGTTATTTGGGGATCCAGGTAAGTTCTCTTTACCCAGTAGAGAAAAGGAAAATAATAAATTGGCAGCTCTTTTTATCATGTGTGATTTTTCACTTAAGCTAGGAGGTGGTAGGCAACAAATGACGCCTTCTGATTTGCAAATCGTGGTTACAGATAAAACATGTTTGATCATATTGTCATAATCATAGGCTCAGTCACCCTGCTTCTCAAGTACCCTCAATAGCAAGCATAATGATGTGGTCTCCTGCCTTTTCTCTTTCAGATGAGTTCCCACTTGCTCACCTCCTGCAGCCTTTCCGACAGTATTACCTCCAAGCCGAGCACTCCCTGCCAGCACTCATCCAGATAAGGTCAGAGGGGCAGCCTTGTCTTTTTCTCTTTTCTCTTCCTCTTGTCTTTCCCTGGGTAGCAAGAAGCACTTAATGAAGTGCTTATGTTATTGAGGCCTGTTACTGTACTTTTTTTTTAAGTTTCTTATAGGTTTATTATGTTGCCAAGTTTCATGGAGGCCACATACGTCTTGTTTAGTTCTCATTAGATCCATTTTAACAGGTAAAGAAACAAACAGTTGTGAGACTTGCCCTTTTGCATAGCTCTTCTGTGGATTTAAAACATTGGCTTCATTTTTTTTTTAAGAGAGAGAATTTTTTAATATTTATTTCTTAGGTTTTAGTGGACACAACATCTTTATTTTTATGTGGTGCTGAGGATCGAACCCAGCGCCCTGCGCATGCCAGGCAAGCGCGCTACCGCTTGAGCCACATCCTCAGCCCCAAGAGTTTATTTTTGACTGATGTACAAGTTTCAGCTTTTAAACATAAGTACAGTTTATTATTATTCACAATAGCTGTGTTCCATCAGGTCACTATGAACACTGAATTACAGAGTACCAAACCATTGCGTCTAAAGGAAACACGAGATTAGGAGATTCCCGMGAGCCTCTGGTTTCATTTTCATCAACTGATTGTACCTTGTTTCGTGTGTCTTCTTTTTAAAGACACTTTGTTGAACACATATTGTCAMTTCATTAACAAGGACTTTATGGCTAACAGCACGATAACCCATGCCCAAATGAAGCACAAGGCACAATAGTTCTCTGACATGTAGAACACTAGCCAACACTTCACCATTACACTCCATTTTAATCTTTTTTTTTTTTTTAGAGAGAGAGAATTTTTTGATATTTATTTTTTAATTTTCAGCAGACACAACATCTTTGTTTGTATGTGGTGCAGAGGATCGAACCCAGGCCGCACGCATGCCAGGCGAGCGCGCTACCACTTGAGCCACATCCCCAGCCCTACACTCCATTTTAAACAGAGAGACTATCAGTAAAAAGCACAAAAATATGGGGAGGGGGAAACATGGTAGGAAGTAGACCACAAAAAGGACACTTATATACAATGAAAGAACTATAAACAAGAAAGCAGAATGAGTGTTGCTTTGACCTTAGCTCACAACAAGTATTTTAGTGACTCAGATTTTTTTGCTACCCTGCATCTATGAGTATCCATGAAAGTACCATAAGTGATGATTTGCTACCCTGCATCTATGAGTATCCATGAAAGTACCATAAGTGATGATTTGGTTACAAATAAATTTTAGTGAGTAGGCAAATTCGTATATACAGAATCTGCTAATAATGAGGCTCAACTGTATGTTAATTATTTGGTTACCCACAAGGTTGTAAGTTCTTCAGAATTTTTTCCCTAAATGTATACATTTAAGAAATGTAACCTTTTGCATATGTCCTGGAAACCATGTTCTATAGTAGATTAATACATTAGTTATTTGAAAGCTCAATTCTGGAAATAGAATTATTGAACATCTTGCTTGGAAAATAAACCAGAAATAAACATTGTTCTATAATGTTCTTATTAAGGCATGATTGGGATCAGTACCTGGTGCCATCCGATCATCCTAAAGGCAACTCCGTTCCCCAAGGATGGGTCCTTCCCCCGCTCCCCAGCAACGACATCTGGGCAACCGCCATTAAGCTGCATTAGGAAAGATGCTCCAGGAGTGTGGTCCAGCCAACGCTCTTTCCAGCTCTAAATATTAATGATGTTGCCATCTTGTGCTGTAGACTAAACCATAACTGCTAAACTCCCTGTGTCAATGCCCTAGCCTAAAGTTATGCTTTCTTATATGCTCTGTCCTGGCCAGAGGTACCTCTTGAATCAGGAGATTAATATTGTTCTTCGGGAGGGGCTGGGGATATAGCTCAGTTGGTAGAGTGCCTGCCTCACATGCACAAAGCCCTGGTTCAATCCCCAGCACCACAAAAACAATATGGTTCTTCAGRAAAGGACCTAGGTGAATTGAGGTTATTACCATAGGTAGTGACCTTGGTTCACTAAATTTGCCTCTGTTTTGAGGGGCTTGGTCTAGAGTGACTAATTAATTTAGTCTAGCTTCCTTGTATGGTGATGGGTAAGTATACTCAATACACTTAAATACTCRGAACAAGTGTGTGCTGGGTGGATTTAGCAGCCCGTCACCAATAACTGAGCGTAAAGGCAAGCTTGATGCAAAAACCTTCTTACCTTCCTATCTAGAGAACACTAATTCCCTGGGGTAAAGGTCAAAAGCCTTCAGCTTTCTTAATCCTAGTTTTTGTGCAGCTTGGGAGATGGCAAGTTAAGAAGATGGCAGTGGCTACAGGCTGGGCTGCCAGAAAACATGATGGCCTAGTTTCAGTTGTCATGCAGAGAACTTAGAAAATCTGAAGAGTACCCATATTCAAATTGGATCATGTTTTAGTGGACAATGACTGTATTTTCCTCATGTTCTCCGTTCTAGTGAAACCATCTGATTTTTTAAGTTCCTAGGAGTCTAGTTTTTTCAGAATCTCTCAGAATAGAAATTTCTCTGTGGGAGTGGGACCTTAATCTCACTCAGTCACATTGTAGGAGGCTAGTTTAGCTGTGGAATTTTCTTAGGAACTCAAGCTTCCCAAAACATCCATGTAGTCATAGTTGGGAGAAAAGGAAATAAGAATGACAAAATTTATTTTTTATATTCACTAATAAATGCTGTTGAGATGATCTGTCATATAACATGTCAACTTTTGTTTTGGTTTGTTTTGATTTTTGCCAATTTTGTTATTTAATTTCTGAAAAACTAAATAAACATCATTTTTATTTTTTAGTTTCAGCCTTTGCCCCCAATTTGTTGCCTCTTAAGTCATTTAACACATTTCACTTTCACATTGCTGAAACATTTTCATTCCAAAATTGAAATTTATTAAACAGGCATTTGCTACAGGAAAATGAATCTCAAACACCAAACTTTGTCTGCAACATCCAACTCTTTTAAGCAAGAATGGACACCATCAACTTAGAAATGATTTATAGTTGGACACTCCTGGGTGCAAGATACTAATGCCTTTGTCTCCTTCTGTTGTTTGATTTGTGTTGTTCAGTTTGCACTGCACATTATGTGTTTCAGAGTTCACAAGGAATGAGGGACCATACTTTTCCAAAGTGTGTCYAAGCTCATAAACCTTAAAATCTGAAGTGATTGACCTCAAGTAAACCCCACAGTCCTGTGGTGACTTTTCCTTTGAAACCTCCACCATTTACCCTGATGAACTGCAGTAGGAGCAGAAATAAAAGATGAATTGTACCATCTATGTTTGGTGCCTGAACAGTCTTGTCACTAAGATATCTGCATTGATGAAGGCGGAGAATGTGAGGTAGGGACTCAGGAGAATCAGGCAGCAAAACCCAAGCAGAGGGAGCATTTATCCTTAGGTAGAGGAAAAAAACATTCCTCTTACCTTTTATTTGACCTTTGCAAGGTTTTTATAAAGTGAACTTTATTTGGTTTTTGTTTTAAGTTTTTCCTGGTTTATTGCCTTTGTGCTATGGCATTTCTTTACGGGCTTAGAAAGAATCACAGCATCTTTAATGAACTGTAYTTTCAAAACTACAAGTGGTGTCATTGTAAATATCTTACCCTACGGTCCAGTCTTTTTGTTAACTATGGAAAATTTCATATATATACAGAAGTAAAGAGGTTAGTGTGACCTTTTCTCCCATGTACTTAACATCCAGCTTCAAATAATTATCAAGTCATACAGTCTTGTTTCATCTGTATCTCCACCACTCACCTGGATTATTTTGAAGCAGATCCCATCAAACTACTTCATCCATGAATACTTGAGTATGGAACCTTAGTTTAAAAAAATTTAACCACAGTACTATTATCACATTTAATGAGGTTTTTTTTTTTTCTGAAGAGTTCCCAGTCTCCATYTCACCAATTACATCTTTGTGATATCATATCCTTCTGTTTCCATACTTCTTTAGTTTAGTGGTTCAACAGCTGTGCCATCCAATATGATAGTCACATATGCTAGTAAGCACTTGAAATGTAACTAGTTTGAATTAAGATAGGGATAATGTACGTGGCTCACATTCTTTCTACTAGGTAACACTGTTCTAGAAGCTTGATGACATTTGGATTGGAATTTTATGGCAAGACTACTTTACATACGTGGTATGTACTTCGTTTAGCAGGTTCTACTGTCTGTCCCATTGGGATGTTAGCAGCCACTAATAATCAAGACCTAGATTCATTAATTCATTAGGGGTGGGAAAATAGTAGTAATTTAATTCCGTCATTCTTCAGTTATTAACTGGAATACAAAAAGAGAAACTTCCCCTCATCAACTATTTGGTTATCCTTGAGTATAATTTGTTTAGGAAAGCAAGAGATAAATACTTAATTCTTTTTATTTACAGATTCATAAAATMATGAATTGGTTTTTAACATCCCCCCAAAGGTAACCAGTGATTTTTGTTTTGCACATTTGTTGTTGTTGTTGTGGGGTGKGGGGTGCTGGGATTAAACCTGGGATCTTGCATATATGCCAGGCAAATGTTCTACAACTGAGCTGCACCCACTGCCCAAGTTTTGTTTTTAAGTATCTTTATGAATTTGGACCTAAACATTTTTCTTTAAAAACCATCAAACCATTGTTGTTATCTTTATTGCTTGCTCCATCTTTTGGACAGTAGGAGTCTCTTCAACTCCTACTGAGTTCTCATACATTCCAGTATTCTGTTTTAATTTATCTTGTACCATCTGCCACCTCAGACCTGGAGTCAGTGATTTTTTTTCAGTGAGTTCTGATTCTTCTTTAGAAGAAAAAGTATTTATCGATCATAACCTTCATGTTAGGGGTGCTTATTGTTATTGCTTCCCATTTAGAGTCATTTCTTATTCTTTTTAGTCAACAGAATTTGGAACTACATTGCTGTTGAGCCTTCAGTCCTTTTGAAATCATGTCATTTTTATGCTTTTACCTGAATTCTCTGTAGATTGAACATGAATGGATAAAAATAGAGAAACCATTCAATGACTAATCAGAAAGTCAACCAATTACTTGTTGATTCATCATATCATATATGCAAGCATACTTTTCTCTTTTTCTTTTCTTTTGCATGGTTCTGGAGTTGAACCTAGGGCCTCTTTCTCACAAGCTAGGCAAGTGTTCTACAACTGAGCTACGTCCCCAGCCCTGCAAGCATACTTTTTATTTCCTAGAAGTGTCATCCCTGGACTTGTGAAGAACTCTGACAAAAGCATTTACTTTTAAGAAATGATATAAACATAGGGAAGAAAGCTATGAGAGAAAGAAAATACATTAAATACTAAGAGTATTCCSCCCAAGTGGCTGAGTTTATGTTGAATTTTCTGCTTTAAACCAACCAATTAATCACTCTAAAACCATGCTTCTGTATCCATGTGACTTTTGTAACAAGAAGCTTAGCTAAGATTATGCCATCTGTTGTAGCAGTTCACTTCTACATGTTTTGTCCACAAAGAAGCTCTCCTGGGAATTCCAAGGTAAGTCCAAACTATATCTTGTTCCATTGAAATAGAGTAATATTCAGTAGATTAAAGGAATGTGAATGCTGTGAAGTATTAGTAGTGATTTATTTTAGGGAACAAATTAAATGACACATTTCCAACTAACTTTTTTTAATGTTTTGAGTCAATAAATTACCATATAARGAGCTTGTTACTTTGTGTGTATTGGTACTGTAGTTCCTAACTTGCCACATCTGGTCACCTATGAAGAATTTGTTTTGCCTTTTGGAATAAACTGATTTCTCAACAGTCTCTGAAACTAAGATCACGGTCTTTGAAGCAAAGTGGTGTTAGAATGTATAACATTGTTAAATTCATTTGTCAGAATCAGGGTACCAGAATTTGTGTTCTTGGAATATGATTTTTTTAATTTCCCATTTTCTGGGTACTGTATTGGATGCTTCAAATATTAAAAAGGAGCAGACATATAGGATTCATGCCTTCCTGGAATCTGAATGTAAAGTATAGAATGTAAAGTTTTAATAATTGTACAGATATTTAGAGTCATTAGTTACAATTATGATTATGCTACAAGGAATAGTACTTAGTAATTGATTTATAGTTTTCATTATCCAAATATTTATTACAAAGTACCCATAGAGGCTAAGCAAAATACCAAATGCTCCCTAACTTCACAGAAAATACAGGTTGTGAGAAAGATATTAATCTAATAATAAAAAAAATGCACTGAGTACTTTGAAGAAAAGGTATGGTTCTAGGAGAATATGAAGTAGAAATTTTTTTCATACATGGTTCTATAATATAGTTAGGAGAAATAACAGAAAAAACTATCATCTAGTAGGGGTAAGAATTGTTCCATCTACATATGTATATGCTAGGTCACAAAATATATACTCTGTCACAGTAAAATATATATATTTTTTAAATTTATATGTATGGATATATATGCATATATATATATATATATATATATTTATATATGGATAGTGCCACTATATTAGACTTTAAACATTTTATAAAAGCTTTCTTATAAAAGTGATGTTTCAGCTGAACTCTGAAAAATGAACAGCTTTTAATTAGTTATAGAGAAGAGACAGAGAAGAACACGGCAAGTATTTGGAATAGAATATGCAAAGGTCCTGTGGTGAGTCAAGAGACAATTGGAAATTGAAGGCTATGATGGCTGCAGTAAGATGGAAAAAGAGGGATCAGGGGCTAGAAGTTGCAAGGCTTCTGAAGGAGTTTTTATTCTGAAAGCACCTGGAAACTATTGAAAGCTTTCAAGCAAGTTAGTGGCTTAGTTTTGTGTTTTGAAATGATCCTTCTTGCTTCAGCATGTGGAACAAAACCGCAGTAATACAGCATGAGAGGATACATGGGGAACAGTTGTCTAAGTGAAAGAACAGAGGCTGGGGTTCCCATGGTAGCAGTGCAGGAAGCATGAAATGGCTACACTCCAGATTTAAAAGAGAGAACTTGTCAAAGGATTTGGCATGGGTAAGAAAGGAGAGGAACATCAGGAATAGATCCTCATTGCCTGGATCAAAGCTGCCATACCTTGAGAGGAACACTGGAGGCAGGGGATGATCACTTTGGGGGAGGGGAAAGTCAATAGTTCACTTTGCATATGTTGAGTTTGAGGGACTCTTGAGACATCTTGGGAGAGATGTCTTTGAGCTGGTTGTGTTTATGAGTTTGATCTCAGAAGAGACCTGGAGAATTTGTGAATCATTCGTTGGTAATTAAAGCTATGAGCAAGTGAAGTCACTTAAAAGAGTATAGTAGAGAACTTTAAAACTGCTGTCATGACTAGACAACTCACCACAGTCTCCACCCAGGCCCATGCTCAGCTATGCCAAATGGGCACTGGCACATGGAGTGGGATTTGAGAAATCCTGGATTGTATAGTTTGTTGAAGCATGCACAGCCTGGCTTTCCTAATGTCTCCATTCCCATTCCCCCACCCCCAGGCCTCTTCAGGGCTTTCTCTGTCAACTACTGAATGGAGCTGGAACTCAACCTAAAGTTCAAAGTCCTCTCCAGGCAGACCCAAATCTATCCCTTCAATCTTGGTGCAGACTGCTTCCAGCACAAACTATCTACTTGAATCAAACAACTTGTCACCCACTCCCTCTGCCCTGCAGCTTCCTGCCTCTGCTCCCTGGCTCTAGCTGTTCCCTGGAATCTCACTCTCCATCTCTTTCCTGCTCACAGGCTGTTCTCCAACCTTCTGGGGTCCAGATCAAAGCCAGTTGCTTTCYTAAAGCTTCCCA